TTTTTTTATAGCAACCACAAAAGTTAGTTAGCACTAGGGTCTTTTAAGTAATCTGATTATCAGTAAATTGATCTTGTCGTCTTGAGATTTAAGTTTGAATGAGTCTAATTACAAATAAATAGATTTTCTAGCTTGTGAAAACTTTCTTTAAAAGTATAGATTCTTTTTTGTTTTGTTTACTACTAATGTGTGAAAACAGCAATCTTTCTAGTTTCATTCCTCCAAGCTGAGACTGGAGAAATTTGTACATTAGTACATTTGTTAAAAGCAAGCAAGTGTTACCGTAGGCAATAATTTTAAGCATCGAGGTTTTTTTTTTATCTACATCTTATCAGTATTGGCACTTGAATATATTTTAAAATATCTTTACCCACTAATTGACACTGCTTACATAAACGATACAAACTGAGTACACATATTAATGGCATTATTTTTTAGTTTAAAGTTCATTTACAGAAATTTACACGTTATGCGGAGGTTCATTGATAATGTTATAATTGTATCGCAGTGTGTATATCTTTTAGTATTATTTGTCCCATGGGTTCCTAGTGGAACATACAGGTTTAGTAGCACGTCTCCATTTCACTCTGTTCTCTGCAGTCTCCTTAACCTGGCCTCACAAATGACCACAACCTTTCATTTCTTCCTCACATGATCTCCTCCATATCACCCTCACCTCGGACGCCCAACTCGTCGTTTCCCATGCAGGTTCTACTTGAGGACTTGACCTGGTGCGTGATGTCCTCAAACCGTCTTCTCAGTGTATGTCCAATCCAATCCAATCCATCTCCACCGTCTTCTGCATATTTGTTGGGTGATATGTTGTTGGTTGGTTCGTTGCCAGCCAGTCAGCCAAAGTTCCTTGTTGCTTATTCTTGTTATTGTGGCCATCTGATCGATATTCAGTATGGAGTGAGCGTAGGCGGCAGCTGTTAATGTGATGTATATCTGTAGGTTGTTGGAAATACTTTTCGTAACGCGTCAAGTTTTTGAACCATAAAGAAGCACTGACTTAACTGACATTAGTGTTGAGAATCTGGATGTTGTTCACGCTTTATGTTGAATGGAGTGGAGTGGAGTGCATTGTAGTAGATCTCCACACTGATTTCAGATTAACGAAGGAAGGCTTGTCTTGCTGTCTTTGTGATCCTAGCTTTGATATCCTCATCTGTGGCTGTGCCACCTGTAGTTGAACCGATGCTGCCTAGGTGGGTAGGTGAAAGAGACTACTTCCTTTAGATTTCTCCCGTTGATGGTGATTGGTGCTTGTTGTTGTTGGTTGGGTATCTTCATCCCTTCTGTCTTCTCTACGTCCACCTGAAGGAAGTGGCGTCTTCGCTGCACTGCCCTGCCTCGCCTTGCCTCTTCTGTCAACTTGTTAGTTTTTGCCTGTAGATCTTCGAGTTTGTGTGACAAGATATTCGACATGAGTCTTCACCGGCGAAATTCAAATCTTTTTATGGGGTCTTTTCATTTGTCCAGCCAGAGTATGCACCTCTTCTCGCTCCTCACAGTTGTGTGTTGCATGATCCAGTGCAGTGCAGTCCAGTCGACCACAGTCAGGAAGACCATCGGTGATAGTAGGCGGCAACCTTATCTTACTTCTGTTTTCACTGCAAAGGGATCACTGAGGTTTTCATTGTGAATCACTTATCATATAGCATTACATGGCATAGCATATAACTGTTGAATGAAGTTGATAAAGGTTTGTTGCACTAAATCCGTAGTGTTGAAGCAGCTGCCAAATTACTTCTCAGTCGATGCTGTCGAAGGACTTTTCAAATTCGATGAAGTTGAGGTAAAGATCCCGTTGATTGTAATTTTATGGTCTGTTTTATGATTATGCGTAGCGTAGCGTTGGCATTTGATTTGAACATGATTTTTTTCCTGAATCCTGCCTGTTGATACATGGGTTCTATCTGTTCTCCAAGCCGACGAGTGAGTTTTTGATGAGGGGAGTTAATTATAAATGACATAGGCTTAGAGTGAGTTTTGCTTATGTATCATCATCAAACCATAAATATGAGACATTCCAAAGCGTTCGGGTTTCAGATCACTGCTTACAGAGTCTTGGAAAACTCTACCACCCATAGAACAGATGAAAGAAAAGGAACAGAACTATGAAGACCTGACTTAAATGATTTGGAATTGCCTTCGATACGAATATGAACAATGAATTATGGGCGAATATCATCTCGTAAACAATACTATTTGACTGCTTGAAATATCTCAGTAGGTAACTATGAGTTCATTATTTACTACTATATTTAAAAGTTCTACGCTTACACTTACGATAATTCTTGCTTGTATGTTTTCTTTTTTTGGTGTTTTATAATCCCGGCGGATAACTGTTCTCCAGTGTAATGTTACGTTTAATTTTCAACGCTATGTGTATTGTACTTTTATAGCACATTTTATAAATCCTTGGACGTGACTTAATGGAGGGCTTCTTTCTACCAGCCATGCAGATATTGCTTTGGTAGTTTACTGTATTGTTTTAAAATAGGCTTATTTATTACCGGTACTTTAAATGCCTTTGTGCAGCCTTAGTACATGAAATCATCAGGGAGAATATCTATTTCTCTGTTTCATCTTTGGTCTCTTGCCCAATGTGGCAATCCTTTTTTCACTTCAGTTAGTCACCATCATTAAATGACCTTACCTTATTGCATACATTTTCAGTTTGTCAATTGTCATCACTTCCATCACCTAAATATCTATTTCATCTTCAGATACGCTTTCTTTCGACAGAGCTTCATTTCAATCTTTCAGTTCTTTTGGATCAATTCAGTTTTAGGAGCTTTGCGTGTTTATAACAGTGAATGCCACTATGTAGTAAGTAGAACTGGTTAGCTTGCTTATGCTCACTTTCAAATTCTATTTTCGGATGTTATGGAATACTACCAAGCAATATGAATGGTGTGTCTAATCTCCACAGATGTACGACTGGTGAATTCAATTCTAAAAGATTGAAACGGACATCCGATGTTTAGTTCACTATGATTTGAGTAGTGGAAGCTGCAGATTAGTTTGTGTAGTTCCTAGCCATTCGTTTTTATTCAGTTATACATTTTGTTAGTGTATGATACGTGAGTGGTCAAATTTTGTAGTTCTGATTGAATGATTTTCAGCTGAAATCTGGTTAAATTGATCATGAATTAGCTGAGAAACTTTTCGGCTGTTAGAGATGTCAAAGTGGACTGCATAAATTTTAGATAAGTGGCACAGTGATCATTCAAGTTCTTGAACAAAGTTTCAGTGTACACCCGGCATATCTAACATGAAAACAGGAAATTAAATTGACATCCAAATACCTCGTTGTGAATGCTGTTTCTCATACTTCCTTTTCTATTCTTTTCAGAATGGTCTATAAAATCATTATCTTAAATGAGCATTAAACCACTGCCCATAGAGATGTCTTCCAAGATGTAAATATGAGATACTCACTATAAGTGTAAGAAATTTATTTTTAGGTTATAGCGTTTCGTTTTGTGATGCTACATTTTATCTTCCCTGTCATATCTAAAAAATAAAATACTATATGCATCCATACGTTTATGATTCTGTTATACCTTTATTGTCTCCATATTTCTCATTATATGGCGTAGAAGGTTCCATTAAATCAATCAAAAATATTGTTGAATTCAAGATTTGAAATTAGCACTGGTTCATAGTATTTAGATTTTAGAGGTTGTCTGTGATAAGTACTTATCGTTTGTATTTACTCGTGTTCTTACGTGTACTGATAATGACAAACGACATACTTACTGTTCAACCTTGGTTACTTTATATTACCTTGTTTTTTATAGAAGGCTGACTGGATTTTGCCCTAAACTTTTATGACTGTTCTCATCCTCTTAAAGACAATTTCATTTGCTTGTGACAGCATTAACTCTGACCCTCAGACTTTATAACTGATCAGTATAGGTTTACATCTCAGAAGGAAAGGGAATTTTATTAGAGTTCCAGACTTCCCTTCAGTGATGACTGCCAACAAACACTAAAATCCAGGTCACTTCGGATTTCTTGTTGATTATTTGCTGATATTGTAGTGGGCTTTACTGATAAGGATGTAAATGAGTAGTATATGTTGAAAGGGTGGCAGAAATCATAGGGAATTACCAGCAATGGGTAAGGATTTCGTCAAGAAAAACGCAAGGGAAGAGGCAGGTGTACGAAGAGCAAATCAAGAAAGAAGCAAAGAGGAAATGGAGCACATTTTGCAAATGACGGTTTTAGTGCAAGGTGTACCATATATAACGACTACCGTCCCACTTGTCTTCTCGCTGTTTTCGACACAACTAGTGTGGAACTGAAATTTGAAAGTATAGAAACATACTTTGGTCATCTCATTAGGTATTACATTTAATCATCGTAGTGTTCACTTTTCATATTATCAGTTATTGAATACAAACAGTTTATCAACAATAAACTCAATAATGGAATGATAAAATTACAAATATTTAAAAGGAATATAATATAAGTGACAGAAACTTCATTACTTTCGCATATTGTATCACACTTACTAATCCACAGTTGAGTGCAAAGTGAATGAATATTTGTATTAACAGTAATATTTTTATGACTTATATTACTGACATCATTTCTGAAAGTAATATTAATACCAGTGGGAAGTGTTGTTGTCGCTACAGACGTCATATGTATGGCTTCTAAGCATTCAGCTTTTTTGCTTTCAACACTTGGCATAATATAATGCAGGTTATATACTTGTTTTAATGATTTCACTAAACTGTAAATAACATTTATATACATCATCATTAGTGTAGCAGTTATGATTGCAGTTAGTGTTTGTGTGCTACTACTTTTATAATGTCTAGTGTAGAAAAAAATAAATTCTATAATCAATGAAATTAAAAATAAACAATAAATTATGTGGTGAGAAAGTAAAGGATTTTTAACTGATTGATACAATAAAATAAAAATGGATGTAAGTTGAGTAAGTGAATATATAGCCAACATAAGAAGTAAGAAGATCAAAGTCAATACTTTTTGCTATCACATATTGGTAATATTTGTTTCAAATAATAAGCATTGATCTCAGTCCGTTTTCTTTTTGCTACACATTCGATTGATTTTGAAGTTTCAGTCAACTCATTGTTAAAATCCACCTTTGTTTTTATTAAAAATTTGTCATTGATTGTAGTTTGACTAACACATGGCTGATTGACTTGGTTCACTACATTTGAGGTAGATAAGAGGCACTTTGGTTGAGGTGTTAATGGAGAAGAAGGCGAAGGTTGTTGGCCAGTATGATGATGATAATGATGAATCTGCTCGACATTAACTGAAGTTGACTTCAAAGGTTGATTGTTGCTGATTTGTAAAAGATCATTTAACCTAGTTTAATGTTTAAAAAATTCAGAAATATAATTGGAAATCATAATCTTTTGTCTTGAGAAATGTACACAACACTCAAAATTATGCATGGTATGAATCTCTTGGTTGAAACCCATGCTTAAATGCACACTTCGACAACTTAAATGATAAAATCTAGTTCGATCTGACTTATCACTTGAAGTACTCACGTAAATAGATACATACTGAGTAATCTGTGTGCCTAGTTTAGGTGTGTAGAATATTTACCTCAGTGGCAGAGAGATAATTCAAAATTTTATCCTTGTTCCTCAACTTATTGTCAAGCTCTTTGATTTGTTTCAACTCTAGTTTCTTGAATATTATTTCTTTTTGGTGTAGGTCTGTTACTTTTATGACATACTGTTGTCCCTTTTTAGTCTGCTGGTAAAATTATAACACCTTTGTCCTGTTGGAACAATTTCAACACTATTTTGTCTTGTCAAATTGAACTACAACTCGAAGGTTTGGCGAATTTCTTGTTGTTCATTGTTTGGATACTTGATCTTCAGTGATTATCTTGAAGCTGGAAAGAATTCTAGGTGAGTTACTCTGCCTGTACTGAAATTCATTCTTTTTTCTAAAGCTGAAAGTGGTTTAGAAGAAAGATTTACTGCCTTATCCATGTAGTTGTTTTTCGGTGTAGATAACAGCTTTTCCAGTTCCTTACTGTTTTTATTTGCGCTTCTATTTTCTTCTAGTGGTGATCCGCCTAATTTCGGTTAGTTTGCTGATAGTTTCTTCTTCCAGAACTGATTGTAGATAGTTAATTTCCAGAGCAATCTTGTGTTAGTACTTTTGTAACCAGCTATGAATCTTTACGATCATCGAACAGAGAGTTCTTCTGTTTTCCGCGTCGTTTTTCAACCTAGTGATTTGCTGACTGGCTGTTTGTACTTCAGGCTGGTTGGTGAAGTATGCCATCGTAAACATTCATGCAGGAATAATAACTGGTGTTTGGCGGAACCTTGTCCTCCAACTAAGGTCTGTCATCGTTAAACCTATAGAACATGTAGTACTTTGGTTGTGTGTTCCAACTGACTTGTTTTAAAGATGGTGTTTTATTTGGCAATCAGCCACAATGAATGGACCCAAAATGTACACAAGCAAAATCGTTAACCAGTGACCTCTGAACATCCTTCTGAGAAAACAAAGCGCTAACCAGTCAGGTTCAACATAAGCCCACACACTTGGCAGCTGACTACTTCGGTTGGATTTGAGCAGAGTGGCACTTCATCGATATCCATGCATAACCAAGTACTTCAATCCCTTGTGCAGATCTGATACACAGATACAGATGTGTAGTATGACACTGAAAAGTTTGTGAACTAAAACATCAGCTCAGAGAGCAACTGTCTCTAAACATTTTGTGGTGTCAGTGGGTTTTCCAGCTGGTACCATTATGTTATGAGATAAGTAGATAATATGAACACAGGACCTGATATTTCTGCCACACAGCGTATCAGTACATCAAGCGAGAATACGTCACTATTTTAGTTAGTGAAATGAGAAAAAAGCAGTCCAAGTGGTAGAAAATTGCAAATGGAGGGCAGAATTGTTTTTGGGAGGGGGGCGTAACGTTTTAGAATTGCAGTCACATTCAAACTAATGCTTATCTATCTCCTCCCTAAATACTCACGTGACCTCATTTTCCAGTCGAGAACATAATCACCTGTTTTGCTGAAACCAGTAGGGTGCAAGCATACACATGCTCGTGGCAACCTTTGTTTTATGCGACGAAATTGATAGCTTTTGATAGAATTCATGCTTTGAATCATCCCAACTACAGTCGGTAGGTGTGTAGACGGAGATTGTGAGTAGGCATTGGCAAGTGACATGAACCTTTGTGGGGTTTTTTGTGTAGGGTATCTGAGAGAGAGAAAAGATTGTATGACAACGAAGCCTATAGAACGTCTACCTGAGGCCCGGCACACAGCCATTTTAAGATTGCTGGTTTACTGTTTGATTGTTCTAACACGGGATAGGAAAAACCGATGCCGTCGTCACCTTCGGACAGGGAGGAGTATGCTGTTTTGGGGGCCAACCTTTGGTAACTCCTTATTTATATAGTGAAAATAGCATCGGCATGGCAATGCTGGTCATAAGCGGAAAACTTCATACTGCTGTCATACCCCATTCAACCAGCAGTACGACTTCATCCTCGGAAAACTATCAAAGCGTAGCAATTCAGCCTATAATAATATCTGCTTTTTATCTTAACATTATTAGCATGTCTTTCTGGCATACTAGAACCTCAGGAAACAAGCTTTCCAGCTAGTGTAGCTTGTTGGGTCATTGTCATATACCATTCCGATCACCAAATCACATTAGCAGCTATATATCAGGAAGTCTTATGATTGAGGTCAGCTTTGATCCCATAGCCACACGAACTGATGCCTTAAACTAGTATCTTAAGCTACTCGACTACTGTATCTGCTATAGACATATCTGTTTAACCCATTTCTTTTCAGTTAAAGGGAAAGGTGAGAAATAGTTTTGGGGTTTCAGTTACGTCGAATAATTGTAGAGTGAAATATTTAAATACACATTTTTCTTTCGGACAGTCAATATGTGGTAAAAAGACCTGATATTTTTTTCGTCATATGCTAAGCTAATATCTCTTTTATAACACTGAGTTTCTCAAGTAGATTAACTGTAATACTGGCCGTTCTAACATTACTAAGATTCCTCAGAATTTTTCAGTCTTTGAAACATTTTCACCTACATTTTCATCAAAAACCAACGCAGCTCAGTCGGAAACCATTGGTAACATTTTGGAGTAAAATAAAAATTGTTATTGAGTATGAATCCTGGAAAACAAAGTTTTATCGGCGTTATATATTCCTGTCAACAAAATATGTGAATTTTTTGTTTAATCGTGAATTTGTGATGCTTTCCGATTTTGAGTTGGAAAATACGGTAAAAGTCGGCACAATCCATGTAGATAAAAGAAGCAGTCATCGTCATTGTCAGAAGCGCTTCATTAAAAATAACGAATTTATAAAAACAGGTATATTAAAATCACATGCTCTTAGTACCTAATTTCCTCTTTAGTAATGGGGTTAATGTCGACCAGATTTACTAGATTTGAATTTTCATTCACTTCACATTTCATTTTCACTTTGAGGAGGAAAACTCATATAACGTTGTTTCTTTTTCCCATTAGACTTATTTATTTAAAATACCACACAGTAAATAAAACTGTATCCCTGTGTGCTATTTCAAAAGAACAATCTGATGTGAAGTTATACTCTAATAAATTGTCCAAGTTTCACGCTCGTGTTTACTACCGAATCAGTCAAATTTTAGGGTAATACACCTTGAAATATAAGCAAAGAAGATTTTGAGTTGGTAAAAAATATTTTCCGTTTGGAGATAGCAGGCTTGTCAGAATCTTTTTTGCTTATGCTTCCAGGTGTATTACCCCAAAATTTGACTGATTCGGTAGTAAACACGAGCGTGAAACTTGGACAATTTATTAGAGTATAACTTCACATCAGATTGTTCTTTTGAAATAGCACACAAGGAGAGAGATAGGGGGAATCTTATTTGGATTCCAGGTAATAGAGTTAAATGTCCTCAAATTTTATTTCATTTCTATTATTCAGCGGAGTTAGAAACTCGGGAATGAATTATGTATTACTGACTAAAGAAGAGCCTGGCAAAACTGAGGGGCTATTCATATGAACTTAGATCAGTCAGTTTATGTTTTTCATATGACGTCTAAGAAACCCAGTATAGCCCAAATTAAGGCATCGTGAGATAATATTGCCTGTACGATTAACAGCAAACTTATAAACAGTAGTTAATCACTGATTTTTTTTCTGTGGAATCAAAATACACAACTATTTGGTACACACTGGTAATTAGCGAATAAAAAAGTGTACTGAAAATGAATTATTGGAAGACAGACGAACTTTCGATCTCCAAGGAATCAGTAACTGAATTTGAAGTCTAATTTTATCATAGTAAAAATAGTCTTATTTTAATCATACCTCAGATAAAATAGTTTTATTATGTTAAATGTAAAAATAGACTTTTTCTGCTTTGGGACTTATACTACTTATAAGTAACATAGTATGTGATACAACATATCATGCATTTTCATGAGTTTTCAGCTCTACGAAGTTAGATTTTGTGGATAACAGAGTATCTATCACTATCTCAACCGGTCATCACCAAAATGGCATCTTGGACAATCGCTGAAGGACTAAAGTTTCTAAGTCTCGAGCTAATTTATCAAGATTTAAGATAGAGAGATAGGGAGAAGTTTAATAAAAGGTCTAAGAAAATCATGTAAACACGGAATGAACTGTAAAACTATAACAAAATGCTATATGTTAATTATTTTGGAGATAATGTGTAGGTGCTTCTGGACCAACGATATTGATTCTGAGCCATGTCACCTGGAGTCTTCAACTACGATTTCAGCTGTCATGTGAACGTCCATTTGTAGTTCTACATCTTCATATAAGGCTCACAAGTACAAATAGTGAAATATTAGATATATTTCTATATCAGACAGTATTTTGAGGACAATGAATGGAAGGCAAATGGTTTCCTTGATTATTCATTCAAAATTCACCAATCTCAGTTAGTCTGTTGCTATATGCTAACCAAAATACATCAATCATTTTTGTATTTTGGTTACCAAGCTTGAAAACCTACCATTGTGATGCATTTTCATTGACACTAGGTGGCTAGAGGCTTCTTGCAGGCCACCTCTGACCGCCTTCTAGGTGAAACGGTTTTTTAAACTAACAAAATCAACACAAATATATCCACATTTGTCAGACAATGAAATAAATATTTTTTTTTCAGTAGCCGAAAGAAATTTGGATAAGCTGAGAACTGATTGCATATTCATTTGCAAATTTCTGTTATTCATATAGTGCAGCTAATTATTGCAATAGTGATTACACTAGTAAAAAAGAACGGTGAATCTAGTCGTCAGCAGTGAGTAACCGACTTAACCGTTTACTTAT